GTGAATAGTGCTAGACTGACACAACTCACTCTCCCTGGTGGGGAGATAAGTACCACATTCAGATGGCAGCAGCTCCTTTATTTAAGCAACAATGGCTGATGTGATCCCCTCTCTCTCTGATGCTCCACAAGCTCAATTGGTTTCCCATTCCCTTACAGACCGAATTCAAAGTCCTCGTACTAACTGGCAAGGCACTAAATAGGTTATGATCTAATGTGTACACTAAAGTACTCCACATTGCAACTTGCATCAGTGTGACTGAACTGGAAGCTGCAATGATGCAGTGCAGCCACACCAGCCATTCCCTCTCGGGTGCACACAATGCACATATCCTCAAAGAGCACACTCTGCAAATATTGCAAGGACTACAAGTTGTTGCATCTACCCTACATTTCCTAGCGCTGCTTCCTGGAGCAGGTGCATAATGTCTATGAAGTCTTCAGTCACTATTTTTGATTTTCTGCATTGCCTGATTTAAATGGTTCTGTCTTGCACAAGGATCTGCACACGTGTTGTGAGTAGCGACACCCTCACACTTGTAGATGCCATGAAAGAGGGTCAGCAGCTCCTACTGCCATCCCCCCCCCCCAAACATTTTCTGGGCTTGGAGGCCCAGAGTGGATCATTAAGAGCACCAGCAGCTTTGGCTGTTGGTGCTCACGGCGGTGAGGAGCTGGATTTTTTTCTTTTAATTCATTTCTTCAATCATGTTTGTTAGTCTTTTAGAGAGTGTTTGCTTGTTTGTTTAAATTTTGTTATTGTTTTAGTTATTTTGTTTGTTTAGTAGCTAAATTCGTTTTAGAACATAAGAATGGCCCTATTGGGTCAGACCAAGGGTCCATCTAGCTCAGCATCCTGTCTTCAAAAAGTGGCCACTGCCAGGTGCCCCAGAGGGAATGAACAGAACAGGTAATCATCAAATGATCCATCCCCTGTTGCTCATTCCCAGCTTCTAGCAAACAGAGGCTAGGGACACCATTCCTGTCCATCCTGGCTAATAACCATTAATGAACCTATCCTCCATGAATTTATCTAGTTCTTTTTTGAACCCTGTTATGGTCTTGGCCTTCCCATGATCCTCTGACAAGTAGTTCCACAGGTTGACTATACATTGTGTGAAGAAATACTACCTTTCATTTGTTTGAAATTTGCTGCCTATTAATTTCATTTGGTGACCCCTAGTTCTTGTGTTATGAGAAGTAGTAAACACTTCCTTATTTACTTTCTCTACCCCAGTCATGATTTTATAGACCTCAATCATATCGCC